CATACATACATACATACAGATTATGTGTTTTATCATGATGAATGTTTGTTGTTAAATTGGGTGTTAAACAGTATATAACAGATTGGTTATTTATAAGATTAACTCTTGTTGCTATATCGTGCAGTGAATGTTAAATAGTGTCATACATCCGATAAAGTTGGTTGTATTTGGTTGTATTACTGTTAAGCCTTGTTGTAGAATTTATTGAATACACGCGAAAAAAAAATATGTATGAATCACTGAATTTTCGTATACAGTTTTAAGGTTTTAGTACAGTTTTGATTTTTATTAAAGGGAAATTGGTTTATTTATCTTTAATAATATATGGATAGAACTTTGTGTATGTGTTATCGTAAAGCAACACAGTACAGTACGGTATATGGTTGTGGTGGTGTGAGGTTGGCGTCACTGCCGGGTGTACACAATGGGGGCCAGTTTCTCATGATGGTTTATAATGTAGTTTAGCGCTTCCTGTGCCCTTCACTCCAAGGTAGTCAGTGTGTGTGTGTGTGTGGCCCCTTTACCTGTGCCGGCCCTGATCACGACCTGAGCTCACGAAGGTTGATTTCTCCCCCCCCCCTCCTCTCCTCTCCCCCCTTCCCTCCCGTAATTGGTGTTAAGTGAATCTTTCTAGTTTAGGTAGAGTCTTGGTGTAATTCTGATGTCATTTCTGGGAATCTGTTGGGGTCGTTCACGATGAAAGGACCGACAGACTGGTGAAGTACTGGGGGAAGGTGGACACGAGCTCCACAGAAGCCAACAACACCAGGTGAAGGTAAATCGTCAGGGGTGTGTTGCTGTCCTGTGTACATCAGTGTGTACAGTGGACTGTGTGATTTGTTCCTTGTTGTGTACCAAGGGTGTGTCCTGTGTACATCAGTGTGTACAGTGGACTGTGTGATTTGTTCCTTGTTGTGTACCAAGGGTGTACCGTGGGGCGGGGCGGGGCTGGGCCGGGGCGGGGCGGGGCGGGACGAGGCGAGAGGGGGGGGGGGCATAGGAGGAACACAAAGGGATGTGGGCGGGAGTACGAAGGACCTTGCAGCAGCAGCAGGAGGAGAAGAGGAGGAGCACCAGGCACGCGGTGATGTAGACATCCACCAGACGCTGGGGCCGCCCCGGGAGAGGGGGGGACATGTACGTCCCCGCCTCCTCCTCTCGGCACCCTTCCTTAGGCGTTTCCGTATAACCATTATTAAAACCTTCCCACCTTCCTCCTCCCTCCTCCTCTCCTCCTCTCTCATCCCCACCTCTCATCCCCTCTCCTCTCCTCATCCCCACTCTCCTCACCCTCACCTTCCTCTCCCCCCCACCCTCCTTCCTCACCCCCACCCCTCCTCTCCTCACCTCCTCACTCTCACCCTCCTCACCCCACCCTCTCACCCCCACCCCCTCACCCCCCTCCTCTCACCCCACCCTCCTCCCCTCACCCCCACCTCCTCCTCCACCTCCTCTCACCCCACCTCTCTCCCCACCTCCTCCTCCCTCACCCTCACCTCTCTCTCACCCCACACCTCCTCCACCTCCACCACACCTCTCCTCACCCCCACCTCCTCCTCCTCACCTCCTTCCTCTCACCCCCCACCTCCTCCCACCCCTCCCCCACCCCTATCATTGCCCCTCCTCCGTGTGATTGAAGCCATAGTTTTATCTCCTCCGGGTGAGATAATTGTGTGTAACTGGCTCTCTCTCTCTCTCTCTCTCTCTCTCTCTCTCTCACACACACACACACACACACACACACACACACACACACACACACACACACACACACCCCCTCCCTCCCTCCATCCTCCCTCCCTCCCTCCCTCCCTCCCCTAGACATAACCCCCCTCATCAGTGGTGCGGGCATTGAGCTAATCCCTCCTTCTTCCTCCACCACCCCCCAGGCCTCAGGGTCAAGCCTACCTCCAGGTTGCAAACTGTGTGCTTGTGTGCTACGTGATGGGTTGTTATAATTGTGTTGGGGCAGGTGGGTGGGGAGGGTGGTGAGGGGAGGAGGTGAGGTGCCGGGAGGACAAGGTAATTAGTATGTGTATTGTGTTAAGGGTAGAGGTACTGACGTATTGTCCTGCCGACGGTGGTGGTGTGGTGGATGGTGGTTGTTTAGTTGTGGTGGTGTGGTGGTGGTGGAGAGGTTGGGTGGGTGGTGGTGGTGTGGTGGATGGTGGTTGTTTAGCTGTGGTGGATGGTGGTTGCAGTTGTTGTGGTGGTGGGTAGTGAGGGGGGTGGTGTGTGGTGGATGGTGGTTGTTTAGCTGTTGTGGTGGTGGGGTGAGTGGTGGTGGGTAGTGAGGGTGTGGTGGTGGGTGGTGAGGTGTGGTGGTGTGGTGGGGGTGGGGGGGTGGTGTGGGTGGTGGTTGTTTAGCTGTGTGGTGGAGGGGTGGTGTGGCGGATGGTGGTTGTTTAGCTGTTGTGGTGGTGGTGTGGGTGGTGGTGGTGGTGGTGTGGCGGTTTAGCTGTTGTGTGGTGGGTAGTGTGGTGGTGGTGGTTGTTTAGCTGTTGTGGTGGTGGGTAGTGAGGGGTGGTTGTGTGGTAGATGGTGGTTGTTTAGCTGTTGTGGTGGTGGGTAGTGAGGGGGTGGTGGTGTGGTGGTGGTTGTTTATTGTTGGGTGGTGGGGTGGGTGGGTGGATGGTGGTTGTTTAGCTGTTGTGGTGGTGGGTAGTGAGGGGTGGTGGGTGTGGTGGATGGTGGTTGTTTAGCTGTTGTGGTGGTGGGTGGTGAGGGGGTGGTTGTGTGGTGGATGGTGGTTGTTTAGCTGTTGTGGTGGTGGGTAGTGAGGGGGTGGTTGTGTGGTAGGTTGGTGGTTGTTTAGCTGTTGTGGTGGTGGGGTGGCTGTGTGGTGGATGGTGGTTGTTTAGCTGTTGTGGTGGTGGGTAGTGAGGGGGTGGTTGTGTGTGGTGGATGGTGGTTGTTTAGCTGTTGTGGTGGTGGGGTAGTGAGGGGGGGGTGTGGTGGATGGTGGTTGTTTAGCTGTTGTGGTGGTGGGTAGTGAGGGGGGTGGTGGTGTGGTGGATGGTGGTTGTTTAGCTGTTGTGGGTGTGGTAGATGGTGGTTGTTTGTGGTGGTGGTGGGTAGTGAGGGGTTGGTTGTGTGGTGGATGGTGGTTGTTTAGCTGTTGTGGTGGTGGGTAGTGAGGGGGGTTGTGTGGTGGATGGTGGTTGTTTAGCTGTTGTAGTGGTGGGTAGTGAGGGGGGGTGGTTGTGTGGGATGGTGGTTGTTTAGCTGTTGTGGTGGTGGGTAGTGAGGGGGTGGTGGTGTGGCGGATGGTGGTTGTTTGGCTGTTGGTGGTGGTGGTAGTGAGGGGTGGTGGTTGTGTGGTGGATGGTGGTTGTTTAGCTGTTGTGGTGGTGGGGTAGTGGGGTGGTTGTGTGTGGTGGATGGTGGTTGTTTAGCTGTTGTGGTGGTGGGTAGTGAGGGGGGGTGGTTGTGTGGTGGATGGTGGTTGTTTAGCTGTTGTGGTGGTGGGTAGTGAGGGGGGGTGGTTGTGTGGTGGATGGTGGTTGTTTAGCTGTTGTGGTGGTGGATTTGGGGGGTAGTGGGTAGTGAGGGGGGTGGTGGTTGTGGCATTGGTGGTTGTGGCATTGGGATGTGGTTGTGATGGTGCAGAGTGTAACGTGGTGGTAGTGGTGATGGTAGCGAAATCTAGTGGTGGTGAAAAGAGTGGTGTTGATGGTGGAAATAGTGGTGGTAATGAAGGTGGTTAGTGGAAGTAGTAGTGGTGTTGATGGTGGAAGGAGTGGTGGTAATGAAGGTTGTTAGTGGTGGTGGTAGTGGTGGTGATAGAAGTTCGTGTTGAGTCTTATTAACCTGTCGTCGAATTCGTGCTGTTCCACTCGTTTCCCCCTCTCCCCTTCCCCCTCTCCTCCCCTTCCCCTCCCTCTCAACACAGTGACAGGCCAGGCTCTCCCAAGTGACAGCTGGATCAATTAGGTTGTTACTACTTGCCGCCCACAGGAACCAAGATCACCTCCAACACCTTGATCGATTTAGGAGTTCTCTTGGAGGAACTTCTTACATGGCGCCTTGAAACACCTCCACCAGTGTCGTGTTGTGGCTTTAATGAGGGAAGGGAGGGGGGGGGTCTGTTATGCCCTCTACTCCATTTCCCTGGTGTGTGTTTTACTACTACTACTACTTCTCCTCACACCCACTCGATCTGCCCCCTGCTTGGTGTTCCCTGCCTGATGCTCCCCGCCCCGCCCCGCCCCATGCCCATTAGTCGTTTGTTTTCTTCACCTGTAGTAACCCCTGCCCCTGGTATCCTACTGCCTCAACACCTTCTGCCCCTGGTACTCCCTTCCCCACACACCGGCGTCTGGTACTTTCAGTTATGCGGCTCATGCCTGGGGTACTTTTGCCCCGCACCCCAGCCCAGCTTCCCCTACTAACACCTTCTGCCCCGTGCCCCCTGCCCCGTGCCCCCTACTGGCCGTGGTGGGTGCCAAAATAGCTGGCGTGTGTCATGTGAGGCACGGAGCCTCGCCGCCCGCAGTGCCACATTACGGGGGAATTTCCCGGAATAGCTGCCTCACTCATCGTGTCGTGAGTCTCGCTACCTCCTCTGTCGGGCCACCCTCTGTCGGCTATCTTTTGTCGGCCATCCTCTGTCGGACCACCCTCTGTCGGCTATCTTTTGTCGGCCATCCTCTGTCGGTCATCCTCTGTTGGCCATCCTCTGTTGGCCATCCTCTGTTGGCCATCCTCTGTCGGCCATCCTCTGTCGGTCATCCTCTGTTGGCCATCCTCTGTCGGCCATCCTCTGTTGCCATCCTCTTGGCCATCCTCTGTTGGCCATCCTCTGTCGGTCATCCTCTGTTGGCCATCCTGTTGGCCATCCTCTGTTGGCCATCCTCTGTTGGCCATCCTCTGTCGGCCATCCTCTGTCGGTCATCCTCTGTCGGCCATCCCTCTGTCGGTCATCCTCTGTTGGCCATCCTCTGTTGGCCATCCTCTGTTGGCCATCCCTCTGTCGGCCATCCTCTGTCGGTCATCCTCTGCTATCCTCTGTTGGCCATCCTCTGTTGGCCATCCCTTGTTGGCCATCCTCTGACGAGCATCCTCTGTTGGCCATCCTGTCGGTCATCCTCTGTTGGCCATCCTCTGTCGGTCATCCTCTGTTGGCATCCTCTGTTGGCCATCCTCTGTCGGCCATCCTCTCGGCCATCCTCTGTTGGCCATCCTCTGTTGGCCATCCTCTGTCGGTCATCCTCTGGTTGGCCATCCTCTGTTGGCCATCCTCTGTCGGTCATCCTCTGTTGGCCATCCTCTGTCGGCCATCCTCTGTCGGTCATCCTCTGTCGGTCATCCTCTGTTGGCCATCCTCTGTTGGCCATCCCTTGTTGGCCATCCTCTGACGAGCATCCTCTGTTGGTCATACCTTTGTCAACCACAACTTTGTCGGCTACACCTCTGTCGGCCACACCTCTGTCGGCCGCACCTCTGTCGGCTACAACTCTGTCCGCCACAACTCTGTCCGCCACAACTCTGTCCGCCTCATCTCTATCGGCCTCACCTCTGTCGGCTACAACACTGTCAGCCACACCTCTGTCGGGCACACCTTTGTTGGCCTCACCTCTGTTGGTTACCCCTTTGTCGGCCATATCTCTCTGCCACAACTGTTAGTTACCTTCTGTCGGCTACACCCTTATTGGTACACTTCTGTCGGCCACACACTATCGGGATAATTCTGTTGGCCACACTTTGATCGGGATAATTCTGTCGGTCACACTTTTATCGGGATAAATACATCGGCCACACTTATCGGCATAATTGTTTTGGGTTGATCATACTAAGAATTGAAAGTGTGATAGGAGAGGAGCCTGGGAGTGCTGGGAGAGGGACAGTCAGGATCAAGGGAAGGGCCAGGGAATGAGGTGGAGGGAAGGGTGGGAGGGTGATCATGGGAGAGGGACAGAGAGGACTATGGAAGAGGGACAGAGAGAACCATGGGAGAGGGACAGAGAGAACCATGGGAGAGGGACAGAGAGAACCATGGGAGAGGGACAGTATCGTGGAAGAGAAGCCTGGGAGTGCTGGGAGAGGGACAGTCAGGATCATGGGAAGGACAGGGAGGCAGGGGTGGCCATGAGTCATGGGGCCCACAACTCGTGTGTGAGAGCTGGACAAAGAGAAGAGGAGGGGGAGACGTCCTTAGTCACCCTCTCACCACCCCACGCCAGAATAGGGCTGTGGGGACGCCAGAATAGGACCGATGAGGGTAGGGCGGGGGGGAGTACTGAATAGTGAGTAATGGGAAGAATAGGGGGAGGAGGAGGATGAGAATAGGGCTGGGATGAGATGAGAATAGAGCTAGGGGAGATGAGACGAGGGGAGGAGATGGATGAGAATAGGGCTCGGGGAGATGAGAATAGGGGAGAGGAGGAGGATGAGAATAGGGCTGGTGAAGATAGGAGGCAGGAATAGGGTAGAAGAAGACATGGACAAGAAGAATGGGATCGAGGAAGCAGAATAGGTCCCAGGATAGGTTAGGTTAGATTAGGTTAGGCTGCATTGGATAAAAATAGACAGATGAGAGACAAGTATAGGTCCTTGGATAGCGAAGGATAATGAAGAAATAGAAGGATAGGAGAGGAGAAAGAGAGGATAGGTCACGCTCGAGTCATCAAGGTAGGTAGAGTAAAAGAGGGATAGGTTGGAATAGATAGGATAAAGATGAAGATATGGATAGTATAAGATAGACGAAAGAGATAAGACAAGCTACGATGGATAGAAGGTAGGATAGGAGGTTAGGAGCGAGTTTTTGACAGAAAGGGGAAGAGAGTTTAGTTATTTGTAAAGAATATTTTGATGAAGGATGGGAGGAGAACGATCTGGAGAATGACGGGAGGAGAACGATCTGGAGAAGGACGGGAGGAGAACGATCTGGAGAAGGACGGGAGGAGAACGATCTGGAGAAAGACGGGAGGAGAACGACTCTGAAGAAGGACGGGAGGAGAACGATCTGGAGAATGACGGGAGGAGAACGACGACTGAAGAAGGACGGGAGGAGAAACGATCTGGAGAAGGACGGGAGGAGAACGATCTGGAGAAGGAGGAGGAGAACGACTCTGAGAAGGACGGGAGGAGAACGATCTGGAAGGACGGGAGGAGAACGACTCTGAAGAAGGACGGAGGAGAACGATCGGAAGAAGGACGGAGGAGAACGACTCTGAAGAAGGACGGGAGGAGAACGATCGGAAGAAGGACGGAAGAGAACGATCTGACGAAGGACGGGAGGAGAGGATCTGACGAAGGACGGGAGGAGAACGATCTGAACGAGAAGGACGGAGGAGAAACGATCTGAAGAAGGACGGAGGAGAACGATCTGAAGAAGGACGGGAGGAGAACGATTGAAGAAGGACGGGAGGAGAACGATCTGAAGAAGGACGGAGGAGAACGATCTGAAGAAGGACGGAGGAGAACGATCTGAAGAAGGACAGGAGGAGAACGATCTGAAGAAGGACGGAGACGACAGGACGGGAGGAGAACGATCTGAAGCAGGACGGGAGGAGAACGATCTGAAGAAGGACGAGAGGAGAACGATCTGAAGAAGGACGAGAGGAGAACGATCTGAAGAAGGACGGGAGGAGAACGATCTGAAGAAGGACGGAGGAGAACGATCTGAAGAAGGACGGGAGGAGAACGATCTGAAGAAGGACGGGAGGAGAGTGATCTGAAGAAGGACGGGAGGAGAACGATCTGAAGAAGGACGGGAGGAGAGTGATCTGACGAAGGACGGGAAGAGAACGATCTGGAGAAGGACGGGAGGAGAACGATCTGAAGAAGGACGGGAGGAAAACTGAAGAATGACCTCAATGAAGAATGACCCGGGGAATGAAATGTAAACTTGACTAATTATCCCCACGGAGTTGTTCCAGGCCCCTGGTGGTCTACTTGTGTGTGTGTACGATGGGAGGGAACACTAGGAACGTTACTGGCCTGGAGGTTATCTAGTTCTCTGGAAGGGAGGGTACATACTCCCCCCCCCCCACCTAAGGAACATAACTGCAGGCATCTAGGAGGTGTTGTAGTTATGTGTGTGGGTGGGAAGGTACACACCAAATGTCATTGATATATCGAAAAAATTTGCGAATTATAATGTACGCTCATTGTGATGTGCTGAAGGTACGGAATTGGGATCTATATTATAATTCTGTTCTGTTATATCGATTTTACTGATACAAAAATGGTCAGCAGTTTTATCTAAGATGTTCCCACTCTGACCTCCAAGTGCCATTGGCTGTAGGTAAAACTTAAAAATAGAGTGTAAGTGTTTCTGAGGCTGAGGACATTACGAAATATATTCTCGTGAAGGTCAAATTTTATCATCGAATTTTGGTCCCGGAATATGTTCTTTTTTGGGGGAGCACAAAAATTAGATAGTTTGTTTGACTTGTGATCTCTCTTGCCGGAGAACTAGGGACTTGACATGACGTGACGGGGGTGGTAGACATGACGTGCCTGAGTGGTGGACAAGACGTGACGGGGGTGGTAGACATGACATGACTGAGTAGGGAGACATGAAGCTAAAAGATGATGGTAGTCGGCAGCTCTCGTCCCCTCAAACGCGGATGATGACGACGACGAAGATGAGACGTGACAAGGGTGAAACATGACCCCGGGGGTGGAGTGTTGGGGAATTAAGGTGATGGACATGGCGAGGGTGATGGAGACGCCGAAGGTGATGTTAGTTGGCTGCTGTCGTCACCTCACTTCATGTCGTCACCTCACGTCACCCTAAACGAGTATGTGAAGAAGACGAGGGTGTGAGGGTATGTGTTGGGGGAGGGAGGGGGGTGGGTATGTGTTGGGTGGGGGTGAGGGTATGTGTTGGGGGAGGAGGGGTATGTGTTGGTGGGGGTGAGGGTATGTGTTGGGGGAGTGGGTGAAGTGTGAACCTGAGATGGACAAAGAACAGGAAACACTCAAGAAATGCCTCTATAAAGCACTGAGAGAGAGAGAGAGAGAGAGAGAGAGAGAGAGAGAGAGAGAGAGAGAGTGTACCTGTGTCCCCTTCCTCCTCCCTGGTGTTAAGAGAAGCTGTGTTAAAGAGGTGTTAGTGTTATCTGTGTGTTAATGTTGTGTTTGATAAATGTTAGGCTGATGTTATATTACGTTAGATAGTGTTAGCTTGTTTAGTGGACGAAAGTGGTGTTAGGGATGTGTTAAGTGGTGTTAGGGATGTGTTAAGTGGTGTTAGGGATGTGTTAAAATGTCTTACGGTGTTAGGTTTTGTTTTAGTCTTAAAGAATGTTGCCTCTCTGGTGTTAAGTTGTGCTCGAATACTAAGAAAATAGTTTCACGTCGGTGTTATGGTGTGTTAAACTTAGTAAGATAGTTCCGCGATGGTGTTAAATTGTGCTAGATTTAGTAAGATAGTTCAGCGATGGTGTTAAATTGTGCTAGATTTAGTAAGATAGTTCCGTAATGGTGTTAAATTGTGCTAGATTTAGTAAGATAGTTCAGCGATGGTGTTAAATTGTGCTAGATTTAGTAAGATAGTTCAGCGATGGTGTTAAATTGTGCTAGATTTAGTAAGATAGTTCCGTAATGGTGTTAAATTGTGCTAGATTTAGTAAGATAGTTCAGCGATGGTGTTAAATTGTGCTAGATTTAGTAAGATAGTTCAGCGATGGTGTTAAATTGTGCTAGATTTAGTAAGATAGTTCCGTAATGGTGTTAAATTGTGCTAGATTTAGTAAGATAGTTCAGCGATGGTGTTAAATTGTGCTAGATTTAGTAAGATAGTTCCGTAATGGTGTTAAATTGTGTTAAGAGACAAGGTAGTATTAGGTCGTATAAGATAGTAAGTTAGTCACATATTATTGCAGGATTCACGTACTGTACTTTTAAGATAGTGTTGCAAGAGCCAGGTAATATTGCGTTAAATGGCATAGTAGAGGTTATGTAAGAAGGTTTGAGGTTGAGTAATGTTCCTTTTAAGAATTGCTCACTTTTCTCCGCGATTGTGTGAAATTGGCTGACATTTGTAGGGTATAAGTGGGTGGGGGGGTAGGGGAGGAGAAGTGTGTGGGGGGAGGTGATGTGGGGGAAGAGAAGGGTATGGGGGGAGGAGGAGGAGGTGCGGAGGAGAAGGAGGTGTGTGGGGTAGGAGGTGGAGGAGAAGTGGGAATAGGAAGAAGAGAGGTGTGGGGAGGAGTAGGAGAAGTGTGGAATAGGAGGAGAGACGTGGGGGAAGATGAAAAGGACAAGTACGAGGTGGGGGGGAATATCATGGGGGAGAAGGAGGGAAGGGACAAGTAGAGAGGAAGATGAGAAGAACCAACAGGTGAGGAGGAGGAGGACAATTGTGGAGAAAACGAGGAAGACAACATCATGGAGCCTGGGTGTGGTCGTTGGTGGGTACAGATGTGGTCGTTGAGGTTTGTTGTGTGGGCGGCACAGGTGTGGTCGTGGGCGGCACAGGTGTGGTCGTGGAAGGCACAGGTGTGGGCGACACGTTAGATTAGGGACTATTAATTGCACTTGGCAGCGGCCTCGGCTATTTTCTCCCGCCTAAAACCAGTGTCCTCTAAGTGGTGCCCCGGTAGTGCCCCGGTCTTGTACCTCAGTGAATCCCCGGACTCCTAGCCCCGGTAGT